TCCCCCTTAAACAATATTGCTTAGAACCCAACCAAACCCTTATCAATATTTAACGGAAAAAGTAGGAGACTAACACCACTTTTACCCTTATTACTAAGTAAACTTCTATCGAGATGAAGCTACTCACCTTAGTTCATTCTTCTAATAAGCCTATTGATCTGGTCTTCCCTGTTGCCAGCATCTCCACCTTCTACAAAATGGGTGGTCTTCTTCTTCATTCCCCCTCGTGGAGAAGATAACTTGAAGGGCCATAAAAAGTTGTTTGCTTCTTTGAAACGTTTTCCAACAGTGTAGATCTCATGAATCAGATCCTCCATGCAGATGATGCCGTATTTACCTGAACATTAAGATCATTAAAAATTGCTAGCTGTTTTTACAGATTAAGATATCCAGCAAGGACAACCAGAGGCTATGATAGTTTAAATTAAGAATAAAGCAACAAAGAAGGAAATACACGGCTGTATTTACAAATACTCAAGCCAACGAAATCTTAACTTACATCTTCCATAAACTTCTGCATTGTAGAGAACATGGGAAGATTCGTTGACAGAAAAATCAACTTTGTCTAATTATCAAACCCTTCCCCAAATAGGTAGAACCTACCAAGAGATCGAGCGATCAATGTGTTATCTGTCAGGGCAATTCGCTTCTTGTTGATTTTGCCATAACCACGCTTGTAGATCAATTCATTCACTGACTTCAGGTTTGGGTACCTGATATATGAAAAACAGACATAAATGACCAAATATAATAAGGTTATCACCATCAGAACACCTCAAATGCACCTCGTCAACAGAGCCAATTTGCCAAAAAGAACTCAAAGGAAAAGACAGACTTACCCCCATGCAATATATGGTTCCACAATCCTTAGCATGTTAACTGAAGCCTTGTTGAGCTTAACAAAGGTGCCGTTGAAGATCTGGCGAAGGCGAAGAAGCTGCAACACCTTTCGAACCTTTGGGCTCACACCATTGATACTGCAGTGAAGAAAAAAGACAAAATGCACTGAGCTTTAACCCAATCATTAATAGAGGATAAGAAAGTAACCATTATGATTCGGCACAACTCAAGTCCCACCTAAATAAACAGGAATTGTTACGAAGACCACTGGCATTTCTTAGCTTATTCTAGCCCGTGTCCCAACCTGCCTCTTTCACAAATAAGTGATCTTTGATACATACCTTTGACACTTCAAACTTCCCCAGGCCCTTTTACCCCATCCTACCTTTGTATTTGTCTTTGTTAGCTTTTTTTGAAAATAATATCCAGGACACTGAACAAAACTCAGATGCTCAGAGAGCTTTGGACACAGCACTTGCAACTAAACCATTAAAATACTACCCACCCCCCCCCACCCCGTTCTAGCTATGACCAAAATATCTCTATTCCAATGTTCCAGAACCAACACTCCCAAGAAGTTAACGGGAAGTTTTGCTGAGACTGTGTAACTTTCCCTTCAAAACCAGAATGCGGTTAAAACTGAACTTACCCTCGGATCCTGATGACAAATGCCAATTTGGGTTCTGCAGGTACGTAGAAGTTGCCAGCTTTTCTTGCCATTCTAGCCATTCGAATCTCAGTTCTGTACATCTGCCTGTATTCCTTGTGGTAATGCTTAGCTTTTTCATAAATAAGCTTCCTCCTTGCCTTTCGAAGCTGAAAACCAATACCAGTTATTCATCTGATTCTTAGCTCCCCAATACAGTCACCACCACCCGTTCTTCAGAAGAGTAATTTCCCCTTGAAACTTTTTCCTTGTCAGAGCATGTGTTAACATTTCAACGCGCAGACACTACCTCCAATTAAAAACACTTTTAGAAAGCCGATGATCCAGCTCACTGGTACAGTAGGTCAAGTCCACAAGCCTTGCTGAGAAAGAACACTCCCCTATTTTCAACCCAAACACAAGGCCTCTCTTTACAGGTTAAGTGCCTTAAAAAAATTTACCTACCATTTTTTGGGCAAATTTCTTTCTCAGACGCTTGATCTTCAACTCTGCGAAATTCCTTCGCTTTTTCTTGAGAGTTTCTGGCACAGCAGGAACCTTCTTTTTCTTCTCTCTGGCGTTAGCAAACAGAACTTTATTAATAGTTCAAACAGCACACAATACCGCATTACTCTTGTATTGCACAGGCTTTCCCATTTAGCAGTACTACCGTCACTGGCTCTAAACATTTCTATCTTCAGCTGCTCTCTAGCAGGTTATGGTGAAAAATAGAGTTTAGAGAGTTTTTATACCGATAATCTTCGCCTTTAACACAGACCACTTCACTTAAATACACAGAATTCACAGAAAATACAATAAATTCACATCTGTCCTGACCTCCGACAACTAAAATATCCACAACAAAGTTAACACAGACTGAGAAACTACTGCAAGAAGGGGGCCTGGAATTCTCAAGAAAATTAACAAACAAACAAACACCTCCCAGCTACCACCTTGGTTCAGGTCTGAAGTTCCACATGCTAAAAGCAAAGGCCTGACGACGGGGACGACTGGGCCAAATACGAGCTAAGATGACCGCAATTCAAAGGTTCTGCACCTCCCTTGAAAGGGAATTGGAAAACTCGCCGGTCCCGTACATAGTTAGGCTTTCACACCGCGTTCCCAGTATCTCCAAAACCTCTGACCCAAGGCCATCTGCATCCTATCTTTGCCCGGCGCCTCCACCAGCGTCACAGAGCGTCACAAACACACAGACAAATGGGCAAAGGTACAGGCTACAGCCAGACCGAGGGAAAACGAGACAAAAAGTCGTTGGATTCGTGGATGGAGAAGGATTCTCGAGTGGGCGAGGAGCTACTTACTCTGCACCCTCCATGGTTCCAGCCGGAAAAAGAGGAAGTTAGCGCATGCGCGCTGTCCACTTAAAGACGACAAGAGCGAAGCCCCACAACTCAGAGGTGTCCCAGGATAAGCCAGAAAAGAACTCGGAACAGAGAACTCGTCTTGCAGACGCAAAATTGAGAACTGCCTGATTCAGCCCCTTACGATCGACTTTCGGGTAAAATTTGTATGGGAAATACATGCACCCACTAGACTCTTTAATCAATATGACAAGAGCACAGAGTGCTGACACCTTTACTACTCGGGGTCCTAGTCTCTAGGCTGCGTTGACAGGGTACCTTCTCGTATTCCACCCAGTAATGTACGCAAATGACACACCACACAGGCGCGAACTACAAATCCCGGCATGCCCCATTTTCACTGCGTGGGGAGGGCAAGGCTTGACTGGGACTGTAGGCAACCACTGCAGTGGTGATTACAGCCAGGGAAAACGAGAGCCTTTTGGCCCACGTTCCGGATGGTTAGGTGCGATTCTAAGTCGCTTCCGAGACCCGGCTTTTGACGGGCTTCTCGGCTCTGCCAGCCCCAGCCATAAACCGGCACTCTACTGCCGCGCTGCCGAGGTCCTTCTATTCGTTCCGCCAGCCTGCAGGGCTGTCTTCCGCGGCGCCTGATCGCAGGGGTGACCGTCCGAGTCTCACGCTTAACCAAAGTGGCGAAATAGGGACAAGCGAGGACCCGACGGCAGGAGGAGGATGGCCCGGGCACTGCAGACCGTCAGGCCTGGCCGGCGGAGGCCGGGACACCCCAAGGCAGGGGGCGTGAGCTGTGTAGGGAGGTGCGACGAGGGCTGGAGGCTGCAGCCACGGCCATGTGAGAGGGGCTGCCCCGCCGCGGTTTGGCGGACGGCTGCGGGCGGGCGGGGGGCTGGGCCGGGGGCGGGGTGC